TCTAGTCCAAATCCCGATGACCTAAAGATCGAAGGCCAAACGCTACACGCTCCGAAGCTGAATGCTGTGCCGACGGATGGCAAGGCATCGCCACGAGCGAGGGCGAGGGCGAGGCGGACACCGCCGAGAAGGCAGATTTCGGAGCCTTCCGCAGGGACCCCGATAAATTTGCCCAGGAGAAGACCCGAGATGCGAGTGACCGAGCCCGCAGACACGACTCCCGAATCGCCACGCCGTGAGGGGCTGATGGCACGTGTTGCAGCACTCGAACGAGAGAAGGCAGAGCTATTGTCACTGTGCGCCGAGCTGCAGACCCGGACGCTCAAGCTCGAGAGCGACAATAAGCAGCTGGCCGAAAAAGCTTCGTGGTTAGAGCGGAGGGTCTCCTCGGTAGACAACGCGGACCTCTGGGGGCTGAGGCAGCCACAGGAGCAGCCAAAGCCCAAGAGCAGACTGCTGTCCTTTGGGTTTGGCGGCAGCAGTAGAAGAAGGTAGCCAGTCGGACAAGCGTTCTCATTTCCTGGTATCTATTTATTTTGGACGTATCATGAACATGGACATGCACATGTCATGTGTCATGCACGTATGTGTCCCGTCATGGCGTTCACGTGACGAGCCCTTGATCACAGACCGTCGAGCTTCATCACAGAGGGGGCGCGGGGCGGGGGGGCGGACCGCGGTCATGTGTCGACCTCACTGCTCTCTATGTGTCCACCCGCCCCCTGTGCCGGCCCCCCGCGCTCTCTACAGCCTGTACACCACATCGGCCGACGCCCAAGGGCAGGTTCTGGCGGGCGTGGGCGACATGTCCACCTTACGCAAGCTTGGACGGTTGTGGGGATGGCCTGCACACCCGCACCCGGAGGGCTCTTGGTGTTGGTCCTGGCGCCGCCGGCGCCGCCGCAAGTAGATTCCGGCCAGGAGTAGCGCACAGCTGACAACACATCCAGCGATTCCGGCAACGAGGGCGATGCTGCCTCCGCCCTCTGGTGGCGGCGGTGGCGGTGGGAGCGATGGTGGCGGCGGGAGCCATGGCGGTGGCGGCGGAGGCGGGTGGGGCGGAGGCGACGGAGGCGGAGGCGATGGGAGTGGCGGCTTGGGCGGCGGCGGATTTGGCGCCAGGTCGGGCGGGTGCGGCGGCGGCGAGGGTGGCGAGGGTGGTGGTGGAGATGGCGGCGGTGGCGATGGCGACGGCGGAGGAAGAGGCTCGGGGGAGGGTGGCGGCAACGGTGGAGGCGGTTGAGGTGACGGCGGTGGTGGACGTGGCACCGGTGGCCGGGGTGGCGGGGACGATGGTGACGGTGCGTTGCATAGCTCGGCGACATCAGTGGCGGCGGTGTCGCCGGCAGCGATGGCAATGGTGGCGGTGTGAGCAGTGATCGCACACGCGCGGATAACGTGACTCGAGGCTACCCTCGCCTCTTGAGTCGCTCGGAGCGAAGCCTCCAGCCGCGTGCCGCGATAATGATCGGCGGAAGTCAAAAGTCGGATGTGCACCTGTGTAACAACGCCCAGCTATCTCGCATCTCCCACCTGTCTCGCGTGTGAAGTGAGTTTGTCGGGCGGTGCGAGCGAGCCTGCACGTGATGGCGCTGGTCATCGGGGAGGTCGGCGTCGTACCCCGAATCGTCCCGCAGAGAGACCCACGCCTCGCTGTTTGGGTAGTCCGCGTAGCACGAACGGCACAAGAAGCGGACCGCGGAGAGCACCGATGGCGCCGGCGGCTGGCCGACCGCATGGATGATGTACCGCTCGGCACCCTCGGGCTCAGCGAAGGCGACGTGGTCCGCGGTGATCCAGCCGAGCTGGAAACGGTTGACCACATTGAACCTGGCGCGACCGGCGGCGGCGAGGAGTGCTACGGGGCTGACAGGTGTGGTGTGAAAGGGCCCTTTTCACACCCAGCTGTGGCTTCTCTGTGGGCGGGGCGTCGCACGCTTTCCAGTGGCGGTTCTGGCCCATGACGGAGGTCGTGTCGCCGTAAGAATTGGCCGGGATGCCCGCATGGTAGAGCCCGAGGTTGTGCCCGAGCTCATGCACCCGCGTCATCGGTTGAGCGTCGCGTATCACTGTGAAGCACCGGCCGTGGCTGTCTTCTCTGCCTGGCGGCGCACAGCCCACGTTGCCGATGCCTCCCCAGTTGCAGGAGCCAAATTCGCGGGGGACAAAGTACTCTCTATGCGTGAACAAGTTCGGGTCGATCCCCAGCTGCGACTTTGCCAAATCATTGGCGCGATTAAGCTCCGGAATCACGACCGCTTGGTAGTTACAGCCCAAGCTCTCCTCCGGGGTATGGTTGCCCATCATCACGGTGACGGCCATCACCGACGCGGCCTGGTCCAGCGAGGTGGCACCATACGAGGAGAAGTTGAGGGCGTCGTTCACCCAGCCAGTCACCGTTCCCGAAACCTTGACGCCGCCAGCAGTGCCCCACATTCCATTGTCAGCGCACTCGTTGTGGCAGTAGTCTGGTGCCGCATCGGTGTACACAAGGCGGAGCGTCACGACCGTTCGTGCCATGGCGGCCCCGAGAGAAGTGTCCACGAGCGCGCGTGCACTCCTCGGCGCCATGGCGCCGGCAGTTCGAGCGATCTCTGCCTGAGGCAATGCCCTTGCCACAGGGCCGCCACGCCTGCCCGAGCCGAGGGCTGAAGCGGCGGCGATGGGGTCGAGGGCGGGAGCGCTCACGTTCAGGGTGACTGGGTGGTCAGCAGGGGCGCCGGAGAAGCACGGGCTGTCCGCGGAGACGTAATGCACTCCTCTGTCTCTTGTGGAGCAGACACCGTAAGCGAGCTGAGCGTGCGAGGCGCCCCAGTAATCTTCCGTGAGGAGCTCAAGGCGCTCGCACTCGAGCAGCATGCCTTGCGGCTGGGCGGCCAAATAGGTCTGGCGGCAAAAGGCAGGCTGGCAGCGTTCGAGGTCGCCTGAGGGTCGGGCGGATCCAGGACGGGCGGTGAAACGCGTGTCACAACGCGCGAAAAGCCGAAAGCCGCAAATGCCCGCTGTCTGCCGAAAGCTGGTGTTCGTTTGGTGAAACCCGGCGACTCGACGGGTCGGCGGAACCCTGTACGAGTGAGAGTATATGTGTAGGGGGGAGGGAGAGAGAGAGAGAGGGAGAGAGAGAGAGAGAGAGAGAGAGAGAGAGAGAGAGAGAGAGAGAGAGAGAGAGGGAGAGAGAGAGAGAGAGAGAGAGAGAGGGGGGGGGGGGGGGGAGAGAGAGGGTGAACCTTCTTTTTTTCTATCTACCAGGCACATGTAGGATTGAGAGCAGCCTCGCTCTCAATCCTAGAAGTCGAAGGACTGTGAGCAGCACTCCTAAAGTTCTAGGATTGTGAGCTAAGCTGCTCCGCAACACGCAACCCTAGACTTTGCTCGGATTGCGAGCGCGCGATGGTAGTAAGTAGTCGTAGGCGTCATCCACCAGGCCACAAACAGAGTTGTTTGGTATTGAAAATCTCCCCCCCAGTCACCTTCGTTCGGCCGTGCCCCCGCGAGGGGCGCGGTCGACACCAGAAGGGGGTTGTATGACGTTCTCTAGAGACGACGTAGTCGGGGACGTCCGCAATCACAATGTGGACGGACACGACGGGGCGAGGTGTGAAAGCACAGAGGCAACCAACACACACTAGGGTTCGTTCGGGAGAGAGTGCCTGACGGGCTTCGGCCCGACGTCCCAGGGCCTTCTCCGTACGAGGGGAGCACGTCTCGCGCGCGGGGGCGGCGAGCAGGGCCTCGGATTCGCGCATGATCCGGTTCCGAGTGCTCTGGGAAAGAATTACAGACTGCAAGGGAAAAGAATTTTACAACGAAACTCCCTCGCACAACACTGGGCAAGGGACTGGCGCGCACTGGGAAAAGAAAACTCGAATGCAGCTTTACCTTGCTTGTGCCGCTCTCCGTTTGCTGCCTTGCAGACGGCTCCGCTGCCGCTCGGCTTTGCTGCCTTGCTGACGGCTCCGCTGCCGTTCGGCTTTGCTGCCTTGCTGACTCCGCTGCCTTCGCTGTGCCCCCGGCTCCGCTTCCTTCGGCTGTGCCTCGCCCTTGCTGGAGAGCCTCACCATGTCCGACGCGCAAGCGAAACTCGTCCTCTACAGAAGCTACCTCGGCACCGTCCAGCGCTTCCACGACTCGAGCACTCGTGCGCTCGGCGGCTACGCCCGAGTCGTGGACGTCGTGCTGAACGGGGACGAGGTCGAGCTTCGCATCGAGACGCTGCACAGCGCGGAGCCGTCCGGCGAGTCGTGGGTCGAGGAGGAGCCGGACGAGTGCGCGGCTCACTTGTGCGAGTCCGCCGCCTCGGACATTGCCGCCGCCATTCTTCCCGACGCCGCAGCCAGCACGGCCGCGCCCGCCGGCGTCCTGTCCACAGTCCTCGCCGTCCTGGGGCAGCCTGCGACCATCCTGGGGCAGCCTGCGAGCACTGTCATGTCGGCGTCCTTCGTGCTCAAGGCGGGTCTCCGCCGCCTGGGCGAGTCGCTCGCACGCTCCGCAAGAGAGGAGGGAGGGCGCGCCGCCATGTTGCGGATAAAGGAACGAGCGCAGCGGCGAGGGGCCGAAGAGGCATGGCGCGTGAGGGCGAAATATAAGCCGGGGGATCCCGACGGGATCGATGGCGCAGACCGGGCGCGGGCCAAGGCAGAGGAGGCGGCGCAAAAGGAGCTGGCCGCCAGCATCGCACGGATCGGGCTGTTTGCCGACACGACCGCCGCTGCGGCCCTGCTCAAGCCGGTGTCTCAGGTGCTCTCCCGCGGCCTCGACGCATCGGCCGTGCCGCGGGTGCTGGAGACTCTGCGCCGGCGGCTGGCGGCGGCGTGGCACGCGAGCGAGAGCAGCCTGATCTCTCGGCTGACCTCGATCGAGACCACCACCGCCTCGCTCGACGAGGCGCTCGCCGCGCCGTGGAGCGATGGCCGCGCAGCGCTCACTCGCCTCCGCGATGCGCTGGCGAGGCTGCTTCAACGGGACGTTGACAGCGAGTGGCAGGCGGCTTGCGACGAGGCGCTCGAGGAGTGCAGGGATCTGGCCACGAGCGAGCCGCGCCAGATCGACGGCCGCCTCCGCGCTCTCGAGGAGAGGCTGCTCTCGCTGGCGCGGGAGGCATGCGCTCTCCTGCCGGAATGGAAGCGGCTGCGCGCTGAGGAAAGGACTCGCGAAAACTTTCGTGCGCTTCGCACCGACGTCGCAGCGCACACGCGCATCGCCGACGGGGACGTCGAGGAGGCTGCGGCGCAGCTCGTTGCCGAGGTGCGAGCCGCCGTGCGAGCCGTGCCGGAGTTGTACGAGCAGGCCATGGACGCCGCCATCGACGAGGTCAAGCAGAATCCGGCGCACGCATCGTACTCTCGGAATCTCAGCCAGCTCGTGCGAGAGAAGGCGGGTATCCTGAAAAAGTGCAAGGAAGCGCGAGACGAGTTGGCGGAGGCGGCGGTCGAGACGGCAAAAGCGAGGCTCGCCGTGTGGCGGGAAGAGGCGATCGCAGCCGTGTCGGCCGTGCAGCGCACCGCAAGAGAGGGTCAAGCAGGCGGCGGCGGCGCGAGCAGCGACGAGCTCCGCCGTGCGCTGAGGCAGCTCCCCTCCGGGGCCGAGGGCAGTCTCGTCCAGGCTCTGATTGCGTCGGCGGGGGATGACGCGGCAGCAAGCGTCTCGAAGCTCGTCGAGCGCCGCGTGGATGACCTGCTCGCCTCCTTCGGCGACGCGCTGTGCAAAGGCGGGCGGCACACGTGCGTGCTCTGTGGAGACGCGGGCGCAGCTCTCGGCAAGGCGAGCGTTTCCCACTTCCCCGCGGGCTTTTGTGGCTGGGCTTCAGGCGTCTGCGATGCGCAAGCATGCGAGTGCTGGGGCAAGGGGAAGCAGCGGGCCGTGAAGCTTGGCGACGTTGCGCTGCAGCCGCTCCCAGCTTTCCAGTTTCTCGGCTTGCGGGAGGACGCCTCTGCGGCTGCGGTGTCGAAGAGCTTGCGCTCGGCGATGCGACAGCATCACGCGGATCGTGCGGGCGGCACGGCGGCTGGCTGGGCTGCGTGTGAGGAGGTCGGCCGCTGCCTCCGCCAGGACGCGGCCCGCAGCGCGTACTTGGAAGGTCGCGGCCATGAGTACTTCGTGAAGCACTACGGCGACGACCCGGCGGAGCAGCTGGCGAAGATTAAAAAAGAGCATGAGTCTGCGCTGACGGAGCACCGCGCCCGGTTGGCGGGAGCCAATCGGGCGCAACAGTCGAGCTCGATACGACCGGAGGGGCCGCGCAGGATTGAGGACAAGACGCTCCTGCCTACCCGGCTGCCAAAGACGAGCGCGAGGCAGTACTCCATCGAACATGAGGAATGGGTGGACGGCAAAAACTTCCCCAGCGTGCGGACGCGTGTCGATTGGGCGTCTCGGCTCACCGACAGCATGCTGGAAAAGGGCTGCTACTACGAGCTGGAGGTGGCCTCGGTCCTCGGCCCTCGGTCCGCTTCGCCGCCGGACTCGTCATACGTAAGGCGATACAAGGGGCTGCAGACTCACTTCGAGTTGAGCCTCTGCGACGAGAGTGCCGCCCCTCGGACATTTCACCTTCGCGTGCGTGCTCGTGCGGCGGATGGGTCCTTCGCATCAGAATGGTCTGAGCCGCAGTCGGTGGTTGTGAGTGAGCTCGATCAGCTGCGCGATTGGGCGTCTGAGGAGATGCTCAAGCAGCTCAAGAGCCTCGCCAAGCGCGCTACCGACGCGCAGGCGGCGTTTAAGCAGCAGCACTTTTCCTTCCCGTTCGCCAGGCTCGTCGACGACTTGCAGGCAGCTGTGCTTGAGGCCAACGCGGACAACTTCCAGGGAAGCAGCGTGCTACTGCCGGGCCGCTTGCTGAAGAAGAAAAGACGTTTGTGCATGGTCTACACGCGCGACATATCCGCCGAGTGGCACGCGCGTCTCGGCAAGGCCCTCGCTGACACACAAGAGCTTCAGCGGGCGGCGGAGGCGGAGGTCGCCGCTCAGAAAGCCGTCGCTCGGTGGGGGCATGGCTGGCGTGGCCGCGCCGACGCCCTGAAGGAGTCGGCGATTCGCCAGTACAGTGGCTGCGTGGGGGCCGGGCGCGATGACGATGGAGTGCAGGCGCTGCGCGATGCGGCTGCGGAGCTTGACGACTGGCGCACGGGGATTCGCACGGGCAGCGCGCCCGAAGACGTGAGGAGCCCCGAGATCAGGGCCGCGTGCGTGCGACCCGCCAGCTGCTCGCACGGCGCACACTCGGCCGTGCTCAACTACCTCATCAAGTGCAAGCGAGAGCTTGAGGCGCGCATCGAGACGGTAGCGGCGCGCCGTCGGCAGGAGGCGGAGCGGCAGCGCAAAGAGGAGGAGCGTCGGCGGAAGGCGGAGCGGCAGCGCGAGGCGGCAGAGAGTGCGAGGCTGCGCCTCGAGGAGCAGCAGCGCGAGGAGTCGCTCGCGGCGCTGGAGAGATCGCGCAGCAAGGCGGCGAGGCGCGCGCCACAGGGGGGGCTGACGGCGGAGCAGACCGCGGATGGCGAGCGGCGGCGGGCCGCGGCTCTGGAGGAGATCGAGGCGATGGCGTGGCAGCCGCCAGGGCGGGTGGAACACCCAAAGGAGCCAAAGGCGGAGGCGACCAAGGTGGAGGAGCGGGCGGTGGACGCTCGCGGCAAGGGCGCGAAGCTTTGCTCGACGCACCGCGCCGTGCTCGTCGACTCCGGGCGCGCCATCGCCAGCGGTGCCGTCAGCCAGGCGGCCGTGCATGCGGCGCTCGAGGAGTACGGCCGCGTCTGGCTCATGCAGCAGATGGGGAGCAAGTGGGTGGTCACCTTCCGGGCGGCGTCGGCGGCTAGCTCGTTCATCGCCTCCGGTGCGCTCGTCGTGGAGGGGGCTCCGCGGCCCTTCAAGGCGGAGCACTTTGATGTCGTCGGCAAGAAGAACTCGGCCGACGAGGACCGGCTGCGTACCTTGCTGGTCAAGATGGAGCACCCCTCCAGGCTCGGATCGATGCAGATCGAGGACTGTCGCGAGCCGAGCGCGCCGGTTGCCGCCGGCACCAGCCTCGACTGGAGCATACGGCTCACGAACCGCGGGAGACAGCCGCGGACGCTGCTCTCTGTGGAGCTTCCGTACCAGCCCGCGGACGCGGCCGTCTGCTTCAGCCTCAAGGGGACGCCGCAGTCCAAGGGCAAGCCGGTGCAGCTCTCGCAGACCTTCTCCCACACGCAGGCGGTCCGCCTCGTGTCGCGGCCAGGCGCGGCAGGCGTGTTTCGCACCCGGCTCGTCTTCAACTTCTCGACGTGCGTGCTCGAGCACGAGGTGGCGGTGGAGGTGGGCGACGCCGCGCCTCCGCGTTCGCTCGCCGCGACGGCGGCGGCGGCGGCGGAGGCCCGGCCGCTCCCCGAGGAGGCGAGGGGTGCGCCTTCTTCTGCGGCCGCCGCCACCGCGCCTGTCCCTGTGTCTGAACCTGTTCCTGTCGAGCCCTCGCATCCGGAGGAGCTCATCTGCCCGCTCACACACGAGCTCTTCGTGGACCCCGTGACCACGCCGTATGGGCACGCGTACGAGCGGAAGTCGATCCTCGAGCACATCCGCCTCAACGGCGGCCCGGCGGGCGCGCCCGACCCCCTCACCGGCAGGATCCTCAACGAGAGCATGCTCACCTCCTCCTTCACCCTCAGAGGGCTGGCTGACAGCCAGCGCCGGCAGCCCTCCTCCGCGCCGGCTGCGCGCCCCACGGAGGTGTCCCAGGCGCCACCCGCCGGTGCGACGGCTGCGGCGGAGCCGCCGCGCCCGCAGCCGGAAGCGGCGTCCTCTTCGGCGCCGCCCGCGCCGGCACCTGCGCAGGAGGGCTTGGTGCCAAAGGTCAAGCGCATCAAGGACGTGCTCGAGCTCGAGGCGACCCTCTCCCTGCCCGCCGCCATCCGCACGGCGAACGAACTCATGGGGCTGCCCGCCACTGGGTCGCTGGTGGCGCAGGCCACGGCGCTGCTCGAAGCGCTGGGGATCTCCTGAGACAGATCTCTGCCACTGCGCGGAGCTGATTGTCTCGTCTTCTACTGTTTTGTGTGGGTCCACGCAGGCTGGGTGCTGGGTGGGGCGTCTGTGGTCTTGCTCGTGCTGAGCTCGTGGGGGGGGGGTCAAACGATCCTAGCCGTCTTGCGTCTACAAAAGAAGAGTTTCACCCCCGCAGCCCGAGCCCTCTGGGCCGGCGCGGGGGCCCCAGAGGGTGTCCATGCGGGGGGGAGATGGGGTCCCATGGCCCGCCGCAGGCGCCGATTTTTTCAGATTTTTTTCTTAGCCCCCCGCTACCCAGTTGCACTCGTGCGACGTAGCGGGGGGCCACGACAACATTTACGAAAACATAAGTAGTCCCGCGAGGTGTGAATTTGGCCGCCCAGTTACCCCCCTTTTCCAGCCAGCGGCGCTTTTCGTGGCAAAAATCGTCACACGTTGGCGCCAAAGCTGTTGCGGCGATGCTATCACGCCTTGCGACAGCCTGTCGGCGCTGCTGACCGTGCCATGATGCACAATTGATCACCTGCATAGCTCGCGGCCTTAGTATCAAGCATTCAGTGACGACCTGATCGTACGGCCAGTAGGAAGGTGTCCTTCCATCGTGTGCACGCTTCTGACGCAATGCGCGTCGCCTCGGATTGGCTGCTGGCACTCTCGAGGCTATGCCTACACAGCCTCGCGCGCATGGGCAGTCAAGAGGGACCACGCACCTTCTCAGGACAGCGCCGGTGCCTCTCTCTTGGACCGGCAAACTTGGTGATATCGTGTCACCAATGTGGGACCAGTGCGGCATCGCGCCATCGACAGCTCTGAACTGCACCTCACCACTGACCGGGAAGGCCGCCAAGTGGGCCAGCACCGGTCACACATTGTGGCAGCAGTCAGCAGTCCATGGCTGATAGCTAGAGCAGCAGCGTCAGGGTCGCAGGGTCGGATCGTGTCAAGCCTCTCGCCCGGCCGGCCGTGTGCAGACGTCGGCCTGTCTGCTGTCCGGAGTGATCTGTCGGCGGTCAGTACGACCGATCAGGTCGGAGTTTTCTGATGGTTGGAGGGTCTATCTGTATGTACTCCTCGAGATCTCCCCAAATCTACCCTCTACTCAACCGTAATCATTCGGGAAGTCGGTGCTAGTAGAGACTAGTAGAGCCGGAGCCCCGTTTCCGCACTGCGGCGCGGCGCACGGTGTGGGCCGGGGGCCCCCGCGCCACCCCAGAGCCCGAGCCGCACATCACGATTTCCGCAGGTAGATGCACCTCCAACGAATAACGCCGGGACACGTGTGATTTTTGAGAAAGGAGAACAACTGACTCTCAGAAAGGGCGAGCGTCGCCGTCGGAGACCCGGGAAGCGGACCGCGACCGGGTCTACTCAGCACCCTGAGACCCGAATCCTGAGACCCGAATCCTTTGCTTAAATTGTTTTGCTTCTTTGCGAGGATTTTTCGATTCTTTTGGTGTACCTGTTAGTGCCAGTGTGTGCGCGCCAGTCTTCCGACTTCCCTATATTAGATTGTAATTAATAAAAAGAGCCGTCATCTCCATAAGAGATGGATGGGCGACGCACCAACACAGAGGCGCGCACCCCGCCCCGCTCGCAGGGCATGCAGTCGAGGCATGCAGAAAGAAAGAAAAGAGACAAACCAAGGGAGGGATGGGAGGACGGCATAAACAAATAAAGAGAGCAGACAACCCCTGGTGGGGTTAGGGCAGCAACCCGACGGGCAGACCCCGCCCCGCTCGGAGGGCGTGCACCACACAGCACACACATTATCTAGGACGGAAAGAAAGAAAGAAAACAGACGCCGCCGCCGCCGCTGCCGATCCCTTGCTCTCGCGGCTTCTCCCGCCCTTCGGCGCAACTCTGCCCTCCTCGCGGCATATTTTGGCCCCTCGAGTTTATCGAGCTCTCCTCGCGCAAGGACGACTCTTCTGACGCCCACTGCGATCATTTGCCGCCAAGTCATATCGTTGCTCAGGTCCTCCACTCTCTTCGAACACTTGCATCTAGGACGGCACGCCATGAGAAGAGGCCCAATTTCAAACGGTGTACCTGTGTTAGTGCCAGGGCGCGCCCCAGTGTTGTGCGAGCGGCCCGCAATTCTTTTTTGAAAAAATCAACGATGGGGCTTGCGGCTCTTGGGCGAGGATGGAGGCGGAGGCGGTAGAGGACAGAGCCTCGAGCGCAGCGGACACGGCAGTGCCGAAGCCACTGCCAGATGTGGTCGACCGACTGCACGCCAAGGTCACCGAGATGTGCGAGGCCTACTTCACGTCGATCGGGCACCTCCAGTCGCAGGCGCCGCCGCTCCCAGCCGGGAGCGCGGCGGGCGCGGCAGCGGGGCCGGGCGCCGAGACGGTGGCCTCCTTTGCGTCCGACGTGACGCGGCTGCACCGCGAGTTTGATGGCCTCGTGGACGAGCTCGAGAGCCAGCAGTGCAGCGAATCCGAGCAACTCGCGGCGATCGAGACGCTCCAGTCAGAGCTCCGGAGAGCCGACGCGGAGCTCCGCACCGAGGCGGCCGCCCTCAAAGAGATTGGCTGGCGGCGCTCGGAGCCGTCCACGTGAGGAGCCGCCATGTTGTCATCGCCATATTTCCACCCAGACCGGATTCTAGCTGTTTATAGCAATTCTAATGGTGTGAACTGCGCGTCGTCGTCGTCGGCTTCAGCCACTCAGCACTCTGCACTCAGGACTCCGCCCCGGCTCCCCCGCCAGAACGGCCCTCTCGCGCCTCTTCCCCACCACAGCAGCACGAGCCACGACACTGCACGCGAGCAACGCCACCCCTGCTTCCCGCCTCTCGCCCCCTGGCGCCCTGGGATGTGTACAAACCTACATTGCTGTCTTACGGTCCGACCTGCGGGCATCGCCTACGCTCGGCACCGGGCACCGCCTCGGTATACAAAATCTGCCCGATGGGCGATGGTGCGAATCAAAGAGAGAAAGAAAGAAAACAGACATCCGAAGAGAGGGATGGGAGGACGGCACGCCGCCGCCACCACCACACAGGGATTTTAAGGAGAGGAGTGTGGTGCGCTAGCCGTCGCCCACCCTTGGGCGTCTGCCTTATCTCTCTTCGCAGTTTCTCACCAATTCTCGCTGCAACCTCCATGCCACCTCGCGGTCGTCCCACTCTCGTCGTTCTCCGCCTAAGGGCAAAAGGATTTCTTTAACCAGGACCTGGAAATTCTTTAACCACTCTGCGCCGCTCGATGCGCCGTAGCGTTGTGAGTGAAGAGTGTTCTAGCAGTAGTGCATGAGTCTCGTCGACTCGGGCGTCAAGCGGCAACGCCTGGATGCGTCCACCTGGCTGCTCTCCGGAGAGCAAACGGGTGCATACGAGGGTGGCGAGGAGGCGGACGGAGAGGACGGAGAGGACATAGAGGACGAGGTCGACGATGAAGACATGTGGGAGGACGCCGGCGGTGCGGATGGCGTCGCCCCTGCGCCGGACGCCGCCCACACATTGATGATGCCGACTGGGAACCTCACCTTGATGCTCGACGCCGAGGACCGGCCCGGTGGACCCGTGGGCGCACCTGCGGCGGCAGATCCCGGTCTGAAGACGATCCTCTCAGCGGAGGAGGAGCGGAGGCAGCGGCTGCTGCTCAAGGCGGCGAAGCAGGCGGAGCGTCAAGAGGGGCAGCGCCGGCGCGAGGTGCACGACAGGAGGCTGCGTCGGTATCGCCTCGTCGAGGCCGTACCTCGACCCTCCCGGAAGTCTCTTGCCTAGGCGTTTGAGGTGGTGCACCGAGTGGCGCTGCAGTGCTGGCTGGCGCACGGCGTGCAGCTCTCGCAGCAGGTGCCGTCGCAGCGCGGAGGCCGTCTGCAGCCGCGAGAGCGACGGTGCTCACTCGGCCCATCGCCGCGTCTCGCGCCTGCAGGCGTCGGAGCCGCTGTTGCACTCGCTCCTCCTCTCGCTCCTCCCGCCCGACCTCGCGCTTGCCTCGGCGCCGCGGCGGCTCGACCTCGCCGGCCTCCGCCGCATCCTCGCGTGGCTGCCCTCCTGCTTCGACGCCGCGACGCACGGCACGCGCCGCACCCCGCACTGCCCAGCAGCCGGAACCACGGGCGCGCCAGTCCCGACACGCCCGCGACACGCCCGCGACAAGCCCGCGACACGCGCCCGCGACACGCCCACGCCTGCAGGCGGCGACGGCGCCGCAGGGCCGGTGCGGCTCATCGAGCGGCGGTGGCTGCTCCTCTCGCTGCTGCACCTCGGCCGCGAGCCCGGCGCGCCAGACTGGGCGGCGGCGGCGGTCAGCGGCTGAGGCAGAGGGGCAGCTGTCCGCGATACGTCCACGACGCGTCCGCCAGCTTGTCCAAAAGGTGGGCGCCGTCGAGGCGGAGCTGAGCCGCGCGCCACGAGTCGCGGCGGGGGCGGCCGCGGGCGTTCGTTCCTCCTCCCGGGCGCGGCTCGGCGCTGCGTGAGCGGCTGGCGCGCGCGCCGTTTCCCACCCTCCCGCCTCCGCGCCCTCGCCCTCTCACCGCCGCCCAGCCCGCCGCCACCCTCGCCAGCGCCTCCCGGCCCGCCACCGCCGAGCCCGCCGCCGCCGTCGCCACCGCCACCGAGCCCTCGCCCTCTATCGCCACCAGCGGGTGCGCGCGTCTCGGAAGAGCGACCGCCTCACGAGGCTGCGCTTTGGCTTGGACAGGCGGAGCTGGCGCACGAGGCGCACGCAGCGGCGCTGCTGCGGCCCGCCGAGGCTGGCGGCGGCGGCACCGCCGGTGGGAGCGGCGGCGGGGAGGGGAGGGAGGCGGAGGGGGAAGCGGAGGCGCGAGGGGCGGGCTGAGCAGCAGCGTCTGCCTCTCGGCTGCACTTGGGGGGCTCCTCTCGGCTGTAGGAGCTCGCTCCGCAGCAGCGCGTGCGCGTGGTTGGCATCTCCTCCAAGCCGGAGCTGAACGGGTGCACCCGCCCTCACGCCCTCACGCCCTCGCGCCCTCGCGCCCTCGCGCCCTCCCCTCTCCCCCTTCCGTTCTCCGCCCTCCTGCTCGCTCCCCCGCCCCGCCGCCTCCCCCCCCTCACTCGCCTCACCACGCGTCCGCGTCCGGCGGCGGCAGGCGCGAGGCGACCGTCGTCCGTTTCGACTCCAAGCTCGGCAGGTGGAGGGTGCGCACGGACGCCGGAGCCAACCTCGCCCTCTTGCGCGGCAATTTGGAGCGTGTCGGAGGCAGCAGCAGCGGCGGCGGCGGCAGCAGCAGCAGCGGCGGTGGCAGCAGCAGCAGCAGCGGCGGCGGCGGCAGCAGCAGCAGCAGCGGGGGTGGCGGCAGCAGCAGCACGAGGACGGGCGGCGGCGGCGGCGGTGGCGAGAGCGACGTCGCGCGCGGCTCGCTGCAGGAGGCGCTGGCGACGCGCCGCGCGACAGCGACGCAACAGCTGCTAGTCGTTCTCGGCCTCCTCCGCAGCCGCGGGCTGACGGCGAGGCTGGTGGTCGCGCTGCAGCCGCCGCCGCGCAAGCCGCCGCCCAAGCCCAAGCCCAAGGCGGCCGGCGGCGGCGGGAAGGCCGCTTCGGGGGCGGTGAGGACGGCCAAGCCTCCGCACCAGGTTCCGTGCTGGGCCGAGGCGCGCCGCCGCCGCCCCGGGAGAGCAGATTTGGCGGGCTGCGCCTCTCAGCGCTTCTCAGCGCGGCGCCCCCCCCGCCCCCCTTTCCAGGTGTATCTCCCGCGCGAGGGTCGGTGGGTCGCCCTGGACCCCTTCTTCAAGCCGAGCGCCCCCGCCGTCGACACTCCCGAGGCCATCCTCTCCGCGCGCGTGTCTGGCCGCGCCCTCGCCGCGCGCGCGTACATCGTCGGCTTCGGTGCGCACCGCGGGGTGTGGGTGTGGGTGTGAGGGGTGGGCAGGCTGGGGCGAGAGGGTGGGTGGCCCCTCCGGTGGTCTCTCACCGCGGGCCTGACCACGGGCGCCGCCCCCCTCCCCGTAGGCGAGGACGAGTCCGCCGTCGACGTCACGGTGCGGTACGTGCCTGACTACGCCGCCTGCCGCGCCGTCCGCACGTCGCACGAGTGGTGGGAGGCGGCGCTCGCCCTCAGTCGGCGAGGCGGCGCCGGCGCAGAGGCGCGAGCCGGCGGCGGAGAGGAGGGGCGGGCAGAGGAGCGGGAGGCGCTGGCTCGCGGCGCAACGAGTCGAGACCCTGTCGACCTCACTGCAGACCTACCGCCCGACGCCGCCGCCCCCGCCGCGAGCCACGCGGGGCCGTCCACCTCGGCCGCCGCTGCAGCCGCCGCCGCCGAGGCGGCCGAGGTGCGGTCTCGGCTGAGGTCGCAGCCGATGCCGTCGTCGCTCGCCGCCTTCAAGAAGGATCCGCCTGCAGCGAGACGCTGGCCCGCTTCTCCCCCCCTCCTGCTCACGGCCCGCGCCCCCGGTGTGCAGGACGCGCACTACGTGCTCGAGCGCGACTTGGGCCGGTGCGAGGCGCTGCACCCGACCCCGATACTTGCTGAGTGCCACCGGACGGCGGAGTGCCCCGACTAGGTATGAGGTGCTGCACCCGTCCGACACGCCGTTCGTCGGCCTCTTCAAGGGGGAGAGGGTCTACCCGCGCGCCTCCGTCGTGCGGCTGATGACCGAGGAACGGCGGCCCCGAGAAGGTCAGGGGAAGGAGGCTTCCCGGCGCCGTAACCTTCGAGCCTCCCCACTGGTAGGAGCGATGGTTCCGGCAAGCGCGCTGCCTCCTGCCGGCGCAGGCGCCGCTCAAGCGCGTCCCAAAGGGCGGCGGCGGCGGGGGCGGCGGCGGCAGGGGCGGCGGCGGCAGGGGCGGCGGCGGCAGGGGCAGAGGAGGAGGCCCGCCTTGGGGCGCGGCTCGCGGGGGCAAGGCGCCGATTGCGGGCGGCGGGCGGCGGAGTGCGGACGGCGGCGGCAGAGGCGGAGGCGGAGGTGACGGAGGCGAGGAGTGCGACGGGGAGGATGAGCCGGCGGAGGGGGAGGGTGGGTGCGGGGCGGAGGGCGGTGGCGGCGAGGGGGCGCTCGATCTGTACGCAGAGTGGCAGACGTACGCCTACGAGCCTCCCGCGGCGATCGGCGGGGTGGTACCTCGGTCGGAGCGGGGGCACGTCGAGATGTGGTCCGAGAAGCACCTGCCGCTCGGCACAAAGTGGCTCAGGGCGCCGCACGTCGCGGCTGCCGCCAAGAAGCTGGGCGTCGATTGCGCGCCCGCGATGGTCGGCTTCGACTTTCGCGACGGCCGGTCGGTGCCGCGGTTCGACGGGGTGATCGTGTGCGAGGAGGCCGCGCCCCTGCTGGTCGAGGCGGCGGCGGGCATCGCCGAGGCCGAGGAGGACAAGCTGTCGCGCAAGCTGCGCCGCCGCGCTCTCGGCCAGTGGGCGACGCTCCTCAACGCGCTGCGGCTGCGCGCGCGGCTGGAGGCCCAGTACGGGCGCGGCGACGACTGAACACTTTGAAGGCCGAGACTGCGAGAGAGCTCCGGGGGGCGACCGCGCGGGGAGAGACAGGAGAGTATACGTAAAGTGGCCCTTGGTGACGCCGCGGGTAGAAAGCAGCTTGGGGAGGCGTGTGGCAGTCGTCCGCAGCGGGTGTGATCTCTTGCCAAAAACCTTGCTGTAAAACCTACTCCGCGAGCCCGACAACACAGCTCTGTACGCGACATGTGCTACTCCGGCCTCATCGCGGATGTGTCGTCGAGATTGTGGTATCTGGCGCCGTTCTCCTCGAGCGTCTGTCGGTGCTGCTCCGGCAGCGTCCCTCGCACCCGCAGCGCGTAGCACCCCGGGACGAACGTCGTGATGCCCTGCCAGCGCGCGACCCACGACTCGTCCGGCTTCATCATCGCCACCAGGCCGTCAAAGTTGGGCGACGTGACCTCGAAGACAATCTCCCGCTCGTTCGGTGACAGCAGAAACGGCACGTTCTCGCTCCCATCTCGCACCCACTGCAGGCGAGCGCACGGCGGTTGTGAGCGCAGGTGTGTATGTGTGGTGGCGCGTGCGCGAAGGGGCGCCCGCCTGCTCCTCCGTCTTTACGAGCCCGGTGACCATGCACGCGCGCAGCCGCCGGTCCCCGTGCGGCACGACCGCAGTCGTCTCGTCCGCCATCTCGTTGAAGCGAGGGAGAAAGAGCGGGCCCGGGTGGCCGGGCCTGCGAGCCGTCTTTTCACGTAAACGCACAACCCCGGGCCCCGAAATCGCACAGTGATGACAGTGACATGCAACACGGGGTCCCAGGGAAGGCGAGCAAAAACCTTATCGCGCGCGCTAGACGCCGACTCGGAGGCCGCACCGGTCGGGTGCGCAGCCGGAGAGAGAGGGAGGCGCTCAATCGCCGAACTCGGCGAGCGCCTCCAGCGTCTCCGCTTCGTACGCACCCTCCTCCCAGCAATTGAGCGCCTCCTCCACCCCCGCGCCCGCGCCCGCAGCGTCCGTGCCCGCGAGGATGGCAGCGACGCGCTCCTTCTGCCGAGCGTTCGCCTCCGCCTTCGCCTCCTGGGCGTCCGCCTCCATGACCCGCACCACCTGCTCCCTCCACACGGCGACCCGCCCGGCCAGCTGGAGGTAAGCGTCCGACGACAGCAGGAGCGCCCTCCCGGCCGCCCGCGAATCGGCGCGCGCGCGCCCCGACTTCTGCTGCGCGTTGCGCCTGGCCCTGCTCGACCGTTGCGGCCGCAGCTCCAGCACGACGTACGTGTGGCGTTGCGGGCCAGGCTCGCGGTACACCGGCACCCCGTCCTCGTCCGCGTATCCAGGCTCGCCGGGACGGGCCTCGCTCCAGGCTGTGACCAGCCCGGAGGCTTTCAGCTCCTCCCCGATCTCCTCGCCCTCAGCAACGAGCTCCGCCCGCCGTCGGGCCGCGCGCTTGGCCCGGAATGCCACCGCCTCCGCCGCCGCCGCCGCCTCCTCCTCACCAGGTTGCAACCCTAGTCTCGCACTGTGCTGTGAACAGAGCGGCAACCAGCAGCTCTCAGGACCCCCCGGTGCTGGGGTGCTGCCAGCAACCAACCAACTCGCCGGCGAGCGGAGCGAGCCGAAGAGCTGTGGGCCACGCCTGCCCGCCGGGACCGCGTGCAGGAAGCCGCATCGCCAGCGCCGTCGCAGCATCGAGCGGCGCGTCCTCCCCAACCAGCGGCGTGTATTGCACCATAGGTCGTCGGCTTTGCCGACGGGCGACGTGGACGGACACAGGCAGGGACGGGCGAAACACGTACCAGCGTTCACAGCACAGTGCGAGACTAAGGTTGCAACCTGGTAATGAGACGGCTCGCTGGGCCGGCACTTCTGAATCGAGTGAATATTCTCACGATCTTAACTGAGCCCCCGGGCTCAGTTAAGATCGTGAGAAACACACGTGAACGAAACGGATCAGGCTGGAATATTCTGGCGCTAAGCCCGGCCACCACGTGTGTCGGTGGTCGGTGGCTGCCGCCCGCCAACTTCCTCACCGGCGAACACAACCGACACATGCTGCGGCCCACCTCGGGCATGGTGGTCGTCCTGTCGCTCGTCCTCCTCTACGTCACGCAGCAGCACCAGCAGATCGCCGGAGCGGCATCGCGCGCGCAGGTCACCGCAGCACCCAAGCGAGCCGTGGTCGCCGGCCATCGTCACGCCAGCCGTCTTCACACGACTGCAGGCGCGCACGACTTCGCTCGAGCGAGAGGTCGAGCGGCTAGAGAGCGAGGCGCGGCACGCACATAACGAGGCGCGCCGCCTGCGCCAGCGCCATGACCTCGAGCAGCGCGCGTGCAGCGCCAGCGCAGCAGCCCTGGCTCCAGCGGCCGTGCGCGCGGCCGTTCGTGAGGCGCTGCGCGCGATGGCGGACGCGGGTGGCGCCGACGAGGAGGCTGGCGGAGCGGCAGGCCTCCTCGCCGACCAGGCCGAGCTGGTCCGGGCAGAGCTCGCCGAAGGTGCTGGCGGTAGGACGCGCGAATTCAACGCCGCCTCTCTCCCTCCACCCACCCACACAGATTTGGCACCCTCCTCGCTGGGAAGGCTAGGGCGGACCTCTTAGGCTGGCGCGCCTCCCCTGCTCCTCAGGCCTCGCCCTCGAGGATGCTGGCTGGTGCCGATGTCCGGCAGCCTTGCGCCAGCGACGCGGCAGAGCTGTGCCGCGTGTGGACGGCGTCTCTTCACACCGTGCGGCGTGAGCAGGCACTGCCCGACTGGGCGAGGCTGTGCCGCGCCATCCGGGCGCTCAGCCGCCAAGGCGGCGGCGGCGGCGGCGGCGGCGGCGGCGGCGGCGAGTGCGCGGAGGAGGCGGCGAGGCTCCGCTCCGCTGTCGTCGAGACGAAGCTCTCAGTGTCGGACTGCGAGGACAAGCTCGCGCTCGCGCTGCGGCGGCTCGAGGTTGTCTCCACGCCGCCGCCGCCGCCGCTCTCCGCGGGAGAGCTCGAGGGGCGGTGCGCGCCGCTCGTGTCCCGCGCGCAGGTGGGACGTCCGAGAGGCGAGAGAGAGGGCGTGGAGACGAGGGTGCGGAGGCGTTTACCTGGCCTGGCCCTGTGCGCAGGAGCTGCTCTCGTCGGCCATCGTGCCGTACGTCGACGGCTTGCGCCACAACCTCTCGCTCGCGCGCGCCCGCTGCGAGCCCGCGGCGGCCGCACCCGCCGCGGCCGCATCCGCCGAAGCGCCCGCGGCGAGTGGCAAACTCCTCGAAAGCCTCCGAGCTGCAGCCGCCGTTGCGGGAGCGCCAGAGGTGAGGACAGAGCAGGCCTCGCGGGGAGTAATGTCGGATGAGCAGGGTGTTATCAAGTGAGACCAAGTCGCGGTAAGATTCAGGAGGTCCCAGCGGACGCTTTTCCTCGAGAGGAACCTGTATTGTTTTCCAAAATTCTTTTCCTCAGAGGCTTAGCTCAAGAATTCTTTTCCTCAGCTCGCGCGCGCATCTACTGGCCATCGCACTAATGGCGGCGCGAATTCACGACTGGTGTGCCGTGTGCCGCGGCGACGCCGAGTCGCACGACGACCTGATCAAGTGCCGAGGCTGCAAGGCCAAGTACCACCTTAACTGCGCGGGCCTTCGGGCGTGGCCCGAGAATCTCAAGGAGTGGCGTTGCACCGGCTGCGAGGGCTCGCACAGTCGGTCGTCCTCGCACCAATCACGCATCACCGCTGTGCGCGCTGTCCACCGTTCGCTCCGCTCGCGTGCTGCGGGCTTCTTCGAGAAGTCTCGCACCGCGATCGCTCCCTTTGTGACGCCGGACGCTCTCGCCAAGCTCACGGCGGGCGGCGAGGCGGTGCTCGCCGCGCAGTCCAAGCCGATCGTGCTCGGCCCGCGCGAGCCCTTCATCCAGGCGACGCTCCGGCCCTACCAGGTCGACGGCGTCAACTGGCTGCTGCGCCAGTACTCGCTCGGCACGGGCGGCATCCTCGGCGACGAGATGGGGCTCGGCAAGACGATCCAGACGCTCGCCTTCCTCTCCGCGCTCAAGGCGGCGAAGCTGCCGGGCCCTCACCTCGTCATCACGCCGCTCGCCGTGCTGCAGAACTGGGCCAACGAGCTCAAGCGCTTCACGCCGCAGCTCTCCTTTGTCAAGGTGCACGGCTCCGCGAGCGAGCGGGAGCGGCTACTGTCGTCGCCGGCGGTGCTGCAGGCCGAGTACGACGTCTACCTGACGACGTACGACACGCTGCGCGCCGAGGAGGCCTTCTTCTCCGAGGCCTTCCTCTTCCACACCGTCACCATCGACGAGGGCCACCGCCTCAAGAACGAGGCATCCTCGCTCTGCGCCAGCCTCGCGCGGCTGCCCATCCCGTTCCGCCTCCTCCTCACCGGCACGCCCCTCCAAAACAACCTGCACGAGCTCTGGGCGCTCCTCGCATACGTCATCCCAAACACCCTCTCCTCCTCCGCGTTCGACGCCGCCGCCTCCGTCGGGCTCGACGACGGCAACCGCGACCGCTCCGCCGACACTTCCTGGACATGTCCGTGACAAGTCCATGACGTGTCCCACACAGGCAACCTCGACCGCTCCGCCGTCGCGCAGGCCCGCGCGCTCCTCGAGAGCATGATGGTGCGCCGCGCCGCGTCGGAGGCGGGGGGGGGGGGGGGGAGGGGCGGCAGAGAGAGAGACGCGTCCCGCGCGCCGTCCCTGCAGGTCCGGCGAGTCAAGTCCGAGGTCGAGACGTCGCTGCTCCCAAAGGTCGAGTTCGTGCTCAAGCCGCCGCTCACGCCGCTGCAGCGCTCGTGGTACCGCCAGCTACTCGGGTCGGTGACCCGCGGCGGCGGCGGCGGCAGCAGCAGTGCTGCTGACGGCGACGGCTTGCTCTCGCTCGCGCAGCTGCAGTCTCGGCTGATGCAGCTGCAGAAGGTCGTGAACCACCCCAAGGCCATCGCGCTCACCCTCGACCGCGACCGCGCCGCCGCCGCCGCCAAGCACGCCGCCGCTGCGGGCTCGTCCTTCATCAAGCTCCCGCCGACAGACAACTCGCACCTGTCGGCGGCGGCGCGGCAGGACGAGGCCGCGCTGCGAGGGCTGACTGGAGAGAGCCTCGTGGCCTCGTCCGGCAGAACTCTCCGCCCGTGGGCCTCCGACACGGTGGGGCACGTCCCAAGACGCCCGCGGCTCCGTCCCGTCATAGGCAAGCTCGCCATGCTCGACCGACTCCTCCGCCGGTGCAAGGCGGCGGGCAGCCGCGCGCTCATCTTCTCGCAGTACACGCTGTCGCTCGACGTCCTCGAGGAGTACGCGCGCTACCGGTGGGGCGACCTTGGCGCGGACCGCGACTGCACACCGGCGTCCGAACCGTGGCGCGTCCGTGACGCGTCCGCGACATGTCCCGCGTAGGCTCGGCCTACTTCCGGCTCGACGGCACCACCAACCGCATCGCGCGAGAGATGGACATGCGCTCCTTCAACGAGGACGGCTCGAGCGCCTTTCTGTACCTCATCTCGACGCGCGCCGGCGGGCAGGGGATCAACCTCGCCACCGCCGACGTGGTGGTTCTGTACGACACGTGCGAGACCTCGCCCCTCCTCGCGCAGCCACACGGCGGCTCCTCCGAACCTCCTCCGCGCTCTGGCAGGTGCTACAACCCGCAGGTGGACCTGCAGGCGCAGGACCGCGCGCACCGCATCGGCCAGACGAAGCAAGTCAAGATCTACCGGCTCATCTCCCCGTCGAGCTTCGAGGAGCGCGTGCTGCGCCGCGCGCGCCAGAAGCTGCTACTCGACGCGCTCGTCATCAAGAAGGAGGGCGAGGGCGGCGCCGGCGTGGCGCTCCTCGACGAGGGCGACGACTCGAGCGACTTGGGCAAGCTGTCGATGGCGGAGCTGTACAAGATGCTCTCGCACGGCGCCGAGGCGCCCTCTGCCACCCTCTCTCCCTCCTCGCCGCCCTCTCCTCCCCACTGCCTGCCTGCACTCAAGACAGCCGCCCTCACCGCCGCCCTCGCCGCCGCCCTCGCCGCCGCCCTCACCGCCGCCCTCACCGCCGCCCTCACCCCTTCCTCCCTCTCCGCGCAGGCCGTCTTTGACCCCACGGCGGAGGAGGCGCCTCCGCTCACCGCCGAGGAGTACGACGCGCTGCTCGACGCCGCCAAGCCCGCCAACGTCAAGGACGAGGTGGACAATGTCGACGAGGCCGGGGAGGAGGGGGCGGCATCGAGCGACGCGCCGCGGTGCCAAGACACCAAGGACACGGCAGAGGCGGCGGCGGCCGAGGCGGCGGCTGCCGAGGCGGCGGCTGAGGGGGCGAGGATTGCGGCGGAGCAGGCGGCGGCTGCCGAGGCGGCGGCTGCCGAGGCGGAGCGGCTGCGCCTCGAGGCGTCGGCGGCAAAGGTTTTGGCAGCGGAGTCAGAGGCCGTGGCGTCCGAGTGGCAGCCTGCAGCGGCGTCCCGCGACCACTCGGAGCTCGTGACCGAAATCAAGCAGCTGATGGTCGCGCGCGGGGTGGGCCAGGCGCAGCTCTACCGCCTGCTCGACATCAAGAAGGAGTCCTTCTCCGCGTGGCTGACGTGGCGAGAGCGGCCGTCTCTCCCCAAGGCCACCGTTGCGGGCATCGACGCAAAGGTCGCAGTCTACCTCGCCGATCCGGCAAACGCGCAGGCGCAGGCAGCCGCGGCCGTCAAGGCGCGCGCAGAACTGGCTTCCGCCAAGGCTGCGGCGTCGGCGACCGAGACGGTGGAGGCGCCCCGCGAGGGGCGGAAGCGCAAGGCAGCCGCGCCCGACCGCTTCTCGCCACCCGCGAAGCTGCACCAGCCAGGCAAGGCGCGCGTCGCGCTGCAGCACGACGACTTTTGCTTCGCTTGCGGCGACGGCGGCGAGCTCCTCGAGTGCACCGTCTGCCCACGCATGTACCACCTCGCGTGCGTGGGCCTGAGCGCGGTCCCGAAGGGGACGTGGCACTGCCCGTGGCACTCGTGCTGGGAGTGCGACCGCAAGTCGTCGCAAGTCGGAGGCCAGCTGTTCCACTGGTGCGGCGTCCCCAGCGCGCCATCCCCCACCCCTCCCCCTCTCGTTCTCACCCCTTCCCTCACCCGCCCCCTCCCGCTCCCAGCATGACCTGCCCACTCACGTACTGCTTCGACTGTTCGCCCGACGCCTACACCGCCGGGAACGCGGTGCCAAGACACCAGGGACACGGCAGAGGCGGCGGCGGCCGAGGCGGCGGCTGCCGAGGCGCCGGCTGAGGGGGCGAGGATTGCGGCGGAGCAGGCGGCGGCTGCCGAGGCGGCGGCTGCCGAGGCGGAGCGGCTGCGCCTGGAGGCGTCGGCGGCAAAGGTTTTGGCAGCGGAGTCAGAGGCCGTGGCGTCCGAGTGGCAGCATGCAGCGGCGTCCCGCGACCACTCGGAGCTCGTGACCGAAATCAAGCAGCTGATGGTCGCGCGCGGGGTGGGCCAGGCGCAGCTCTACCGCCTGCTCGACATCAAGAAGGAGTCCTTCTCCGCGTGGCTGACGTGGCGAGAGCGGCCGTCTCTCCCCAAGGCCACCGTTGCGGGCATCGACGCAAAGGTCGCAGTCTACCTCGCCGATCCGG